CCAACATCGAAGGCGGGGGGAAGAAGACAAAGGGCAAGGAGGCATAGCTGGACGAAAAGGAATGATGGGGATAGATAGCGAATACGAAAGCATGTCGATGAAAAGAGCAGAGAAGAGCAAAGCAAAGCACAGCACAGCACAGCACAGCAACGCACAGCAAAACAAAGACAACAAGATGAAAGAAGCAGATGAAAATCAGAGACAGAAAGGGCACAGGAAAGCAAAGTTGGAATCAGGAATAAAAAGGACCAACGCAGAAAAAGCAAAAAAAAAAAAAAAAAAAATGAATTCAGACAAAAAAGATGAATACAAGAAAGGAGAGAGAGAGAGGCACGGAGAATCAATGAACGAATGCATGCGATCATTCGAGAGATCAACAAACACGAAACATGGGCAGTACACCGAACATTATAAAAGAGGTGGTAAGAAAATGTAGACTGACCACGGACCACGGTTAGAAAGATCGTGGGTAGAAGCAGAAGCACAAGCAGGAGCACAAGCAGGAGGCAGTGACGCGTATAAAGCACATCAAAGACAAGTGTGTTAGTCTGGAGGGACGAATAACGCGAGGAGCATGAAATAAGGCACAGGAGAACAAGCCACTCTCTATGGATAAAGAAATAAAGAGCGGAATCAAGTGACCAGGTGGAGAGTCGAGGGCAGAGTGCAGCGAATCGCTGAGCTTGGCAAAATGCAGCCGAGGGAACCACGGAGTTGCGGGGTTCCGGATGACTATGCCAAGACCGACAAAACACGACTCCGACATTGAGGCAAAGATTCGGTACCAGGAACCGAACCGACACAAAGCTTATATAGCGGGAATATGAGGTACTGCTTGTCTACATCAACAACGGCAAGATATGAAGTTTGACACAACTGCACTGATAGCAACATGGCTATTGGGTGTCGCACAGGCAGCACCAGCCCATGAGAAGGGAGAGTTGGATTGTCACCCGGTTGGAGAGGCGGGAATTATTGCGTCACAGGATCATTGGACAAATCACTACTATGGACATCTGCATTACGACTTTAAGGAATCAAGGTTAGAACCAACGGAGGAAAGAAAGGGGAAGCCAAAAAAGAAGCTTCAGTTTTACGAGTGCAAACCGCCGACATCCAAGTTGAATGGAACGACAGCCCAACATTGGTTTGGACAGCTGCGAGTAGCAGATGAACCCTCAAAGTGCGTAACGACGACAACGTGGTGGGTAAAGACGAAGGATACAGGACCATATGGGGGACCAGGATATACATCGAGGCCAGAAGGAAAAAAGACAGAGACAACGCTCAAAGAATGTTCAACTTCAGAGGAAACATTGCGGCTACAGTGGTTTGGGATGACACGACCAAGTAAAAAGAACGTGAATGCGGCGCTTGTGCATAAAGGATATGCAGAAGATGAGGAAGCATTTGCAATTTGTGGCAACGAGGAAAATACGGACGAGGGAAAAGGGTCATACTTCTGCCGTGCATCCGATATGAGAAGCAATGGGTTTGCTATGTCAATGCTGGAGACTAAGGAAGAGAAACGAGGTGAAAGTGGGGAGGACCCGCCTGCACCAGAATGGTATCTAGGGAAGGAAGACATGAAAAAGGAGAAATAGGGTATAGAGTGGGGGGGCAGAGCAGTAGAAGAATGAAAGGACGTAAAGAGATGAGATTAGAGGGAGAAGACAAGGGAAGAAGGAGGAGAGAGGGGACGAGGATGGGTACGAGGCGAAACGGAAGAAAAGGGAGAAACATAGAAGTGGAGAAGGCAGGCAGAGAAGGGAAGAGGAATCCATGAAGTAGGTCGAAAGGACGAGCGAATATGGGCAAAGGGACGATGAAAGTGGAGACAAAGTGGTAAAGCAGAATGAGATCGAGGGCAAACAAGGCACCACACATATAGACTGCACCCATTGCCTAGCCTAGAGATGTCAGCAGCTGTGGCTGAAACTCTGTGCTCGTGGGATTCCACGCAACGAAGAGCACGAGTGACAAGCGAGCGGAAAAAGACATTGACACGTGAAGATGAGACATTTTGGCTGACACACATCATGAGTGGCCCGAGCACGATGCAAAACACAGCTGCACGCGCCCATCACTTTCGTTCTAAACACTCATATAGCGTGAGTCATACTATGACTCGATGCGCGTATGACTTGACACGCAAGTTATAAAAAGGCGCCCCGAGCCATCACGGCTCCTCATGCTGCTAGCTGAGGCATTAACCGAGCGAGCCGAGGCACAGCGCCGATATGAGCAGCTGATGCAGCGGCTCCTGCGAGTCGTGCGAGTACAAGAGGGCGACGAGCCAGTAGAGGACCCGGAGGAGCTCCTCGTCTCCGCCAATGGCATTCTAGACAGAATGGACTGGCTCATCCGATGCGTCAACAAGACCAACACACAAACCATGTTTGATGACAAGCACACACTTACAGATGCGATCGCATTCCGAGACATGGCGCTCAAGCGGCGGAAGCTGTATTCCGACGTGGCAACAAAGGCGAGCACATCGCAAGATCGATACACACGCAGTGAGATCAAGTATGTGAGTGTGATTGATGTGCGGAAGATGCAAAAGCAGGTGGACAAGCTCGCAGGCGAGTACCGGACATTGGACACGCGAATCCAAAAGATGAACTGGGAGGTGGAGTTGATCGAGGAGTAGGCAGGGAGGAGCGAGCAGCAAGCAGCGGGCAGCGAACAGCGGGCAGCGAACAGAGAGGCCAGAGGTAGTTGAGTGGTTGGCTAGCGTGCACACACTGAGATGCTTTTCTTGGCGTTTCAGCAGACATTCAGGTATCTCTCTTGGGGCATGAGATTAGAGTTCGATTCTCTTCACAGAGCAGCCCAGACAGAGCACATGTGCACAGAGAACCGAGAACGGAGCACTACCGCGTGCAGGAGCAGCCACTCGATGAGGGAGGGCCAGGGGCAAGGCCTTTCTGCCGTCTTGGTCCTATTTGAATGTAGAATGCGTTTGTATTATAGGAATCCATTTACGGTTTGGGCTGAGACAGGCAGGTGAGGCTGAACAAGAGCAGAGTGGCGGGGTAGTGGAGGAACGAATCTGAGGGGCAGAGGGAGAGAATATAAGAAGCGGAGCCGTAAGGCGACAGCCAAGAAAGGACGAAGTGGAGCAACCGGAGCATGCGAGAGGAAAGGCACAGATGCAGAGAGAGAGAGGACTAGAAAGAAAGAGCAAGAGGGGAAGTTAGAAAGAAGAGGAGAAGTAAAGGGAAGGAATAGAAAAAGGAGAAAAGGAAGTAGAAGAGGCGAAAGGGAGGGAAGGGAAGGGAAGGGAAAGGGGAGAGGGAATGAGAGGGGGCGCAAGAAAAGGGCATGTAGATCGGGAGATCGGGAGAGGGTGGGGTAAAGAGTGAGGTATAGGCAGAGTGGAGAGGAAGGGAAAATGAGGAGGAAAAGCCTTTGCCTTTACACAGAAGTAGCGCCGTTACTACGAAGAACAGGATCAGGGCTGCTTTCCCATGAGATTTTTGTTACATATCGCCGCTATAATCGACCGAGACAACCATCAGGTGGTAAGAAGCCAAGTGTTGTTATATGCAGCTGCTGGTCCTTGTCTCAGCCCATGTAGACCCGCTTGGCTTTGTGACTGCATGGCGACGGTGCGGGATTGGCCCATACTGACTCAGACCCCTGTGGAGAAAAAGAATGTTGAAGAAAATTGGCTCATTGTTGATTCACGTCAAGCCGAAAAGGAACAGTTTCATAACAGTTGAGTTTAGCACGAAAAGTGTGGGATCAGAAACAGGAAATTTTGAAGTACTGAAGATATTGAGGGCTCCAAACCATGATATTGTGGACAATGAACAAGTCTGGTTCAAGGCAAATGAAAAGTACAGCGTTGATCATGCTTATGCGAATAAAACATCAAGAACTGCCTTTTGCATATTGGCTGTGTCAGCTGGAGAATTGATTACTGTGGTCGCCTGCACTGAGATGCAAACACGTGCTTATGCTCATCATGTTGCATCGTCTCTTCCTGTTAGCAAAAAGAGATTCTTGCAAAGCCGAAGTTCAGGCTCAAGTCGGGTCTTATATTTCTCATTATCAACGAGAACATAATTGCATATGACATGTTCCATGAGACATACGCGAGGAACAAAATTGAAAGACTTGTAAAGAAATACTTTACATGAATCAATAAGAGTGTTGCAGATATTGGTGCGATTTGCGACGTTGACTCGGACTTCAGCCACAACAGGCATAAGAAATGCAACTGACAAGATTAGTAACAGGGAATCTAGTGGTTTGTGGTGCAAGTTTCCTGACAAGCGCCTGACATATTGATCTTATGCACAAGTGCCCCCGGCGGAGAACAGTCGGTGGTTTCAAGATCCGTACTATCGCTACGACACACGCCTGGTCGCACAGCCTGGGATTAAGTAAATGGCACGTCTAACGCCGTCCGGCCCAGAACCCGATCCACCACTCGTCGCGTGAGATATATCTAACGTGCATTAGTTGCGAGGGTAAATCCACTGTTAGTACAAATTACGAGAGACATTCGCTGTCGTGATATAATCAGATGACATCCTTCTGAAGTGAAATATATGGCCCGAATGGTATGATGTTGCCTGATTTGCTTCTATGTACGTGGGCCCATAAAACATAGTCAAAACGTCAATTTAGCTTATTTAATGATTTCAAAAGACGCCCGCTCAATTCTGAGCATTCAACATTTATGCATCAAATGGCATGGATGCCCGGGGGCAACGCACTTGTACGCGAATAGAACACGGGATACAACGCTGCAGAATTTCGAGCGAGCTAAAGACCCTGCATGGGCCGATATTGCAACCCTACATTATATTGGCATGCCTGATTCGTAGATTGATATAATCGAACCGTAAGCAGAGCCCCATAGCTTAGTATCATTGAAAACAAGAAACGAGGACGCAATGCCAAGACATGTGTCGACGCCGGAGTTGCGGCGACAGGGGACACGTGCGATAACCCAGGTCTTGGCTAAATCCTATTATAGCGAACCGAGCGGTGATTGGCCATCAAATTGACATGCACCTTCCCCGCATTCACAACGTGCAAGGTCGATGCCCAACTGGGCGATGCTAGCTATGATCAGATGCATATACAAGGTGCCAGCGGACCGAACGGGGAGCCATAGCGAGCTGCGAAAAGGTATATAAAGAAGAGCGATGCCTCCTCAGTACCACCACCAACAAAGATCTTCAAAGATGCGCGTTGCCATTGTCCTCTCCCTCGTGGCCATGTTGTTCTCGGTGGTGTCGGCGTCGTCGCTGTGCTTCGGACGCCCAAGCTTCCTTGGCTCGACCTGTGCTGCTGAATGCAGTGTTCGTGGCCACCACGGTGGATCGTACTCCAACGGCCAGTGCTGCTGTGGCGCTTCAACCAAGCGCGGTGAAGAGACGCACACGCAGGAGGAAGACCTCAAGAGTGCCGAGGACTTCTTCGGTGGCAAGTTGCTGATGTCTGACGACGACTCTCTCGAGGTGCACAACGGACCCTCCGTGAGCCGTGTCTCTTGCTCTGCTTGCAACATCGGTGGCTTCAACGGTGGCGGTCTTTGCTGCAAGGCCAGCTGCGCTACGGTTGGCAAGCCAGGTGGTTACTGCAATGGTAACAACGTGTGCGTGTGCAAATAAGCACGCGAAAGGCAATGCAAGTATGATTAGTAAGATAGTTTGTGTGTGATAAACGTATGAATTGTATGTATGGGGACTCGGTTCCACGTGTGAACGTATCTTGAACGTGTCGATGGCAGTCTGGCACGGCTGATGACCGGCCTGTTTGCGTGTGCTCAGTGCACGCATGGGACGGGTGTGGACAGATGCATTCAACTTTTGCGCTTGATGAGACCCACTTTTACCACAGGTGCTTCCCCCATAGAGGCGACTATGCATGACCCTGTACCATGTCCAAAAATGACACTTTTATCACTTTGGTTTCGCTTCACCTTTCACTGCTACAAAGAAGCATGCGTGGCACCATACATGAACGTCGCTTCATCTGGTTACGACATTCCAGTTAGGTTGTAAATGAGCAGTTGTTAGGAGACCAGGCCAATGTAGACAGATGAAAGGCAATCAGACTGTCGCGAGTCAGATGTGGGGCGATGGGTGGGACAGGCAACAGTAAAAGGGCGAGTAAAGTAAATAAATAAATTAGTGGCCGCGTTTCCTCATAACAAGGAGCAAAGCAGCTCGAATAGACATGAACACACATGTGATACGAGACTGTGCTCATGATATGTATGATGCCCCGAGACTATGTGGGTTTGTTATGGTACTCTGCTATAAAGAATGATGAGAAAAGGGGAGTGGCATATGTTGCCTAGACAAGACAAGATATCATAAACATGCAGCGAGATCATTGTGAGAAGTAGCCCAGACCGAAAACAATCAAAAATTTATTGGAATACCGCTACAAGTGGCAAAAATAAAGAAAGAGAATCAAGCTGCTATATTACCACGAACGATGCCGAGGGACATGTCAGTAGAATGAGTA